CCCGTCCTCAGTGCCGCCCCACCCCCGAGTGGGCTGTTCCATCTGGGCTAAAGGGAGGAGGGACGGTAGAAGCTAGGACTCGGGAGGTAAGGCACAGTCTAGCCCCACACACAAGGGGTGTGCAAACCAGCGCTTGGAAAAACAATGGAAAACCGTGGGCAGTCTCTCCTGCTCCTCCTCAACCCCAGGGTGGGAGGGGGCACAGCTGAGCAGGAAGCAGCCAGAAATCCCAAAGGCCCTCCCATCCAAAGCAAGAGAACCCCTGAGGTGATGGCGAGCCTTGACCCAGGGCTGGAGATGAACAACCCTGGGCCGGCAGAAGCTGGAGGGGCCCAGGAGGAGCAGCCAGCGGGAGGGGAGGGTTGAGGAGCAACTCCTCAAGCAAGATGGTGCCACCTGCTGCTTCTGGGGAGAGGAGCAGGGCAGAGCCGGCCCGAGTTCCCAGGAGCGGCGGTGGTCCTGCCATGCTAAGGAGCCGCTGGGGTTGGCAGGCCTGGGGTAGGCATTCTGTGGCCAAGAGGCCCACCTCTGCAGCCCTGATCCTCCCAGGAGAAATGCTAGGAAAGGTGTAGGTGGCACTCCAGTGCTCCAGGAAGGCCTGACGGGCCCCTTCATGAGTGCCTCCAGAATCCAGGGATCAGAGGAACAAACCAGGTGGGCTGGGACCCCCCCCCACCAAGACCAAGGCAGCAGCCCTAGCTTGGAGAGTTCAGAGGAGCAGCAGGTTGGGGGGGTACCAAGGCAGACAGGTACCCAGGGGTGCAGGGAAAGGGAAGTTCCTCATTAGAGGGATGTGAGAGACCAAGTATCTATCAAAGCTTCCCACCCCCAGATTCTGCACAGAGACCTCTGGCCTCTCCCCACACAGGGTTCAGCTACTGGGGCATCCCTTGCCCACCCCCCAAGTCTCTCTCAAAGAGACGTCGGGAGGAAAAGCAAGGCATTCCTTAAACAAGGTGGGGACACTGAAGAAGACCATCCACCTGGATGTCAGGAGACCAGCCCTGCACACTTCCCCAGTGCCTCTTTTCCTCTCCTAAACCTTCCACAGGCCCCCCTCCCCTGGCCAGCCCTCGTCCCTGGGGAGCCCTGGCGGGGCAGGGGCTGGGGCAGTCTGGGCAAGGACCCTAGCTTCTCCCGCCGCCGGGGAAGACTACAGTTTGAGCCAAGCAGCAGATGTCTCAGGCACGTGGGTTCACGGACACGGCTCAAGCATCAGTTTCATCACCGGAAAGTGCGGCTCCCCGAGGCTGCTTGGCCCCAAGCAGGGCTCACACTTTGGTTGGTGCTTCCTCTTCCGCCTTGGAGCCCGGCAACCCATTCTCTGTATTATCATTCCCTGAAGAACTCACGAGGCACTCCTTCCTGAGAGGGAGAGAGGAGGGAGGGGGACACTGGTGAGAGGAGGAGCCAGAGTGATGCATAAATGTGGGGGGCGGCGTGGCCTTGGGCATCAGCCCTGGGCCCTCTCCCTGCCCTTCTGTAGAGCTATGGTAGCCAGAGGTCGGGTTGTCTAACCTCTCTGCCTCCGTTTCCTCATCCAGAGAATGGCTGTAACAGTGGCCCCTTCTTCATGGGGTTGCTGGGCAGAGTCAGTGAGCACCTGGAACAGCGTCTGACCCACAGGAAGGTCTCAGTAAGGCTAGCATCCCCCGGCCATCTCATCACGGCCGGAGGCAAGGGTACCAGGTGCCGTTCCCAGGGGTCAGGGCTGAGGGGTAATTCCCAGGCTGTGCCAACCTGGGGGAAAGGCCCGAGGCACCAGGCAGTATGCCCAGGGCAGAGAGTCTTCCAGAGCCCCGCAGGCCTTTCCTCCCCAAGCTCGCAGTGCCCAGAAGAATGAGACAGTAGTCACAGGTACGGGCAAGAGGTGTGGCCAGAGGGTGGTGCGATGGGACAGAAGGCAGCAGGAAGGAGAGATGGTTAGGTGGGAAAACACCCCCCAGGAGTGTCACCGCCCTGACTGCCCTGCACTGGACATGCTCCCGTTTAAGGACATCCCCCCTCAACGGCAGCGCCCAGGCTGCACAGAGCTCTCCAGGGAAGACTGACTGCGACATCACTCCCAGCTTCCAGCTCATGAAAACTTGGAGGCTTTTCACAGCCGCTGTTGCTAAACTACATCTTTGCCCAGCCTGGGCTGTATAGCTGGGCGTGAAGGCTTCACGGCGGACTTGACTTGTCCTCATCAGTTTTGTCTTGCGGGATTTAGTCCAGAGCTCAAGCCTATAAAGATCCTCCTAGATCCCAATTTTGTTCTCCATCATAATTACTAGGTTTTTAGAAATTTGATAAGTATATCATTTCTAATGTAGTTCAAATCTTAATAATAACAATGGGCAAGGAGAGCCCTGTGGCAGACCACTGAAGACCTCTACTCAGATGGGTCTGTCTGTCTGCCTATCTCTGTACCTAAGGTATAGTCAACCTAACTAATTCACATCCACCTAACTGTCCATATTTCTTTACTGAGAACCTACTGGCTACCAGGCACTGTGTCAGGCTAGAAGGGCATCCAATTTTCATGGCACCTGCTCTCAGAAAATTTGCAGACTCCCAGGGGATACAATATTAAACAAGTAACTGCAATATCATGTGGTAAATGGTAGGATGTGGGGACCAAGGAGGGACTCAACCTAGGAAGACTCCTTCTGGGGTCAGGGACGTCTCTTTGGAAGTGTCACTTAAGCTGAGGCCAAGAAGAGGAGCTGGAAGAGAGGGAGGAGACATTCCAGGTAGAGGGAACTGCACCCACGTGTGAAAGTCCAGAACTGATGGTGAGGTGCTGCCCCCAACCTCCCGTCTTCTCAGGAAGCTGCCACATCTCTCCTGTTATGCAGGCTCTCCTCGCTGCTCAGAAGCCCCCTCTCCAGCTTCCCCATGGCCTGTCTTCTACCTCTAGCCTCTCCCCACCCAGGCCCTGTGCCCACCAAGGCCCGACCCTTTCTTCCGGGGCTCTCTGATCGTGCCAGACCCTACAAGCCCTCCCCAGCTCCTCTGCCATCACAGGAAAGCCAATCTCAGGCTGGACTCCCAGGTCCCTAAGGGTCTGTCCCCACCCCCTTTGCAGGCTTCTTCTCCCCTCCCTACCACACCCCTGGCTCTCTCAACAATAACAACAAACTTCTTGTTCTCCAGATCATGCCCACTTCCCAGATTCTCTGTCTTTGCTCTCAGTGCTTCTCCATCCAGAACACCCTTCTCTTCACCCTCCTTGAGGGTTAAATTATATCCATCTGGCAAGGCTGACCACAATTATCTCTTTGGCAAGAAATCCTTCCCTAGTATTCCACCCGCTCCTGAGCCCCTGCCGCATTCTGCTGTACCTCTTTGCTGGCCCTGGTCCCTCTACCTCATATTACACTTCTTCATGTACATGTCCTGTCTTCTTTACTTAAGGGCAGAATCTCATTCCTTCCAGAACTTCCTGCAACACCCACACAGTGCCTTGCACACACAGTCACCAAACGAATGACTGATTGAACTCTAGATCTGCCCCATGAATCAGGAGGGTATGGTGGCAATGGCTTCAGCTTTGAAGCAAACAAGTCAGGGTTCAAATCCCAGCTCTATTACTTATTAGCTGTGTGGCCGTGGACAAGTCACTTAACCACTCTGAGCCTCACTTTGCTCAACTGTAAAATAAAAATGATGTATATTATATTAAAATGCCAGATGGAGGACCTAACATGTGGTAGGCATGTGACAAATGACAGGAAGTGGCATCTGGGGCAACCTCCTGATCCTCCAGTGCCCCAGCAAGAAAACATTTCACCTGCCTTGTTTTCCATGAACCCGTGGCGTCTCCCAAGGATCACTGTTTTCTTTCCCACGTGCTTTTATATGTTGAATAATGTGTTGTCCAATTTTACTCACCATCAATAGTAAGACTGAATTTTTAAAGCAGGATTTGGTCCAGCTCCATGCTCCTGGTACCACTCAAGAGCTCAGGCAGACACCCCAAGAGCTCATTTCAGTGCCTCCTTGCTCCCCATTCCCTCTTCTGTTCCTTAAAATTCCCTCCCTGCTTTTAGCTGCCTTCCTTCCTGACCGGTGTCATTTCTGCCCTTTCCAGCCTAATTCCTTTTTCTCAACACAGCAGAATGAAGCAGAATGAAGGAGAGTACGTCCCCCTTCTCTCCTGTCTCTCCTTCTTACTCTCACCCTCTCTGCTCCAATGGCAGGCCTGTCTCATCTTTCTTCCTAAGAACATAACTTTCAAACGCCATTTCCTTGCTCTGGCTTTGCAGCATTCACCATCTGCTGCCGTGGAGCCTGCCTGTTCTGGCCATTCTGGGCCTGGGCTGCACCCTTTGTACCCCCTCCCCATCTCTCCTCCCCTTCCCCATATAGATGTCTGTTCTTCTACCTGAATCTATCTCAGGGTTTCCTGGATGGCCATATCAGCCTTTTTATTTTTTTTTTCATATCAGCCTTTTTAGATTGTTTTTATCTCCCTCATTTGAATTTTCAGAATCTCACAATAAGAGACTCCCATCCTCCTTAAAGGATCTTCCCATTTTAGAGTTTCTGTACATGGAATCTTTTCCCTGATCTAAAAAAAAAAAGCTTCTTAAATCCTCTGGTAAGACTTTAGATTGGGGTGGTACAAATAGAAAAAGAGAAGCTAGCAGGATGGGAGGAAGACAGGGGAATGAGGACTAGCAAATGGATTGTATTTATATACTCAGTGCATTCAATGTGCTCAACAAACACCTACTGAGAGGATGGGGAAGAGGGAGGGAGATTAGGAATGGGGCTGGAAGATGGAAGCAGGGTTGCAGGGATAGGAAGGAGAGTGGTAGAATTAGGAAAGGAGGATGGGATTAGGAGATAAATGGAAAGATGAAGGCAGATGGGGGTAGATGATGGTGGATGAAAAGATGCTGAGAACACCCACGAGATGAGAGTGGATGGTGGACTGGTGGGAGGGCAGGAGTCAACTCACTTCTTCTCCTGAGTCTTCTTGATGATGAAGGCAACAAACTTCTTAACCAGCAGGATGAAGATGAGGAGCCCAATGACCCCGCCCACGACAGCCAGGATGATGAGCGTCACTGTGTTGTCCACTTCTTCCACTTCACAGCCAGAGCAGGGAGAGAAGAGGGTGGAGAAGGGGAGCAGCAGTCACCTGGAGCACCATGGCAACCCAAGGGCTCCACAGCCTCCAACCCGGACATCCAAGGCCCCGCCCTCCCCAGGGAGGAAGCAGGAAAATCTGGAATATGGCAGCCATCAGGCTAAGGTACAAGAAGAGGGCCCTCTCCCCTCTCCCTCTGCACACATGCCCTCTCACAGACACCCACACAAATTCTGAAATAACTCACTCAGGGCCCGAGGCACCCAGGTTTGACTTGACCCCCAAACATGAGGAAGTCATTGACTCTTTCTTTCTAGGTCTCCTTTGCCCACAAGAAAAAATTGAGAATGCTCCTGTGATACCTCTTATGTGGCCAGTTGGCTTTGGAGTCAGATAGTCCGGATTTTAACTACAGGATTTCAACGATCATTAATGAGCTGGTAACCTAGAGCTGGTCATTTAACCCCACCAGCCACAGTTCCCTCATCTGAAAACTGAACTCCTAACTTCCCATACCTGCTCCACCCAGCCTCCCCCACCTCCACTGAGAAAACCCCATCCTTCTAGTTGCTCTAGCCAAAATCCTGGCAGTCATCTTTGACTCCTCTCTTTTTCTCAAACCTTCAGTCCTCCTGAAAATCCTAATGGCCCTGACTTCAAAAACTTCCAGAATCATGAGCATCTCCTCTGCAGAAATTTCATATCATCCAGGAAAGCAGTGGACCCACAGGTACACAAAATACATAGCACCATCAGGACAGGATTCTTGAGCAGGCTCCCTTCCTTTTTCCTTTGTGTCTGTGCCTCCCTAGCCTTCCAGGCTTCCATGAAGCCCACCCAGCTTAATTCCTCCAGCCCTTTCTGTAAACACTTTCGGTGTCTGGGGTCATGTGGCGTCATCATCGCATGCTTCCTCATTGTCTAATTGTTCCACCTGTGTCAGACTGGCATCTCTAACTGGGACTGAGGGTCTGGAGGGGAGAGACCTTTCTTATCAATCTCTGTTGCCTGTGCCTCTTCTGCTGCCCCTCTTTCAGTTACGGGTTGACCTGTCCTCTGTCCTATTCAGACCTGTAAATTCCTAGAGGAATGACACTGCATATCATTCATAGCACTTTTTGGTTTAATACCCGGCATTCAATCAGCTGTTGCTAACGGAATACACAAGAATAGTAATAATCAGCCCATACAGAGAACTTTACCCATCACAAAACACTGCCATGTAGCTTCTGTAACTCTCACAACAACCCTAGGGGAATGCAGATTTTACAGATGAGAAAAACAAGGCTCAGAGAGCCTAAGTGTATATCATAAGCTATTCAGAGGCAGAATAAGTATTCGAGCTAAGTTATTCCAGCATCCAGATGTAACTCCAGTAGCTCTTGAAAGCTCAAAGTGAAAGGAAACACCAGTGTGGTCCATTTCACCATGAGCTGGATACCTTCCCCCAGTCCTTCCAACTCCACTGCCCTTGTCCCGGCCCCCACTACATACATTTATCAACAACTTGGAGGAAGATGGTGGCCTGATGCTGAAGATTATTCTCCTTGGGGTTCTTCACGTGGCAGGTGTATTTGCCTGTGTCGCTGAACTCCAGGTTCCTCAGCAGAATGGAAATATTGTTCATCTTCTCCTTTGTGGTGCCCTCCAGTGTGATGCGATCATCCTCTTTCAACTTCACCTTGGGGTCAGACTTCTCATTTTTCACAGTCCCATCTATGAGCTGTGGGGAAAGAGGGGAGAAAGGAAGTGGCCAAGAAAGAATCAGGGTCCTTTCAAGAGTTAGGACATCACTCCAGCCCACTCCCTGGGCACCTCCCTGTCCAGGTCCAGGAAGAGTCCTCCCTCTTGGTTTCCTTCCAGTATCGATAGCTCTGCCTGTCTAACTTGGATTTTACTTGCTTCAAGTTAAACTCACTTTCTGTTATTAAGGTCTCCCTAGAATGTAGCACAGCTTTTACTGCTTTCTTCGTAAAAGCCTTTTATATAAAGACTCCTGCAAATACCACACTCGTTTCCTGCTGTCACTGCCCTCAGCCCTTGCCAACGTCCCCTGTCTGCCTGAATTCTGGCCTTCCATCAAGCAGTGGATCAATTCCATGGTGTTGTGTGTTAGCACCCTCTGAGTTCAGAGTTTAATTATATCCAGAGTTAGTCTCTTGTGACTTCCAGATGTTTGTCTCAGATCCCCTGCTAGAGTGCAGAGTGAGTACTCAGTACACACTTGGTGAGTGATCAGCCCACCCCTGGCCACAGCCCTGTCTCTGCTCCTGCACATCTCTTTCTTTTCCCCAGCTTCCCCCTCCCTTCCTTCCAAGCCCTGTTCCCCAGCCCTTCTCCCACTGGACTCTCCTCATTCCCCTCTCCAAGTCTTCCAAAGATCTTTTCTCCCCTGTGTTTAAAATTATTAATTTTTACTCAAGCTAAGTTTCAGGTATGTCTTCAGGCCAGACAGGGGACTCTGGCCAAGAATTCCAACAGACCCCAAATTCTGGCAATACAATCTAAGCATCCTTCCCACTTAGATTTTCCTAGACAGGCTCTGGAAAGAAAACTGGGAGAAAGGGTGACAAAAGGTTCTGAGGACCATCACCTTGGGGTCAGTCCAGAAAGGACCAGAGCCTGGGATGGGAGGCAGGGGTGAGGCGACAGGGAAGGGTGGAGCATCAACGCTGTCCTGTCCCTTCCCCCACTACTTACGATCTTGAATGTATCACTGCTGTTGTAGGACCACCAGAAGCGCAGGTCCTCGAAGCCGAAGCAGCTGGAGAAGGTGCAGGGCAGCAGGATCTCCGTGCCGTTGACAGCGGAGATGGTGGTGGCCTTTCCCACAGATACCTCCAGCGACAGGGACGCAGGGAGCAGGAAGAGACCTGTGTGATGGGCACCACTTTTCTTAATAAAATCCCACCTGAACCTCCAGCCTAGAGCCCCGGAAGGGAGCTCTCGGGCAGAGTGGAGAGGCTTGATCAGGCAGCAAGTTCTCTGGTACCCTCTGGGTCAGGAGGAAGGTTCTCTTTACTTCCACTGACACTGCCTGGGCCCCGCCCCGCGCCTCCTTGATTTGTTCTCCCTCTTGGCCTGGGCAGGATGGACTTCTGAGCGTTAGCAGCCCCTGTAGCATTCTAAGTGACCACCAGGGGTCACCCCAGCCCAGAAAAACCAGGCCCTTGCCACGGTGCCTCGGGTCTGCACCCCCCTAACCTGTGGATGCTGCCCCTAAAGGTGCCCTCCCTGCACCGCCCCAAAGACAGGGCCTGTGCCTCCCGTTCGTGCTGGGAATTTCCCCAAGGACTCTGCGTGTTACATTTTGGGGATTTTTTTTGCGGGGGGGCAGGGAGGGGCGGTGTTGGGAGGATGAGGGTGGCCCATGAGGTGAAAAAGAGGAAAACAGCAGCCAAGGTCCCTGGACACAGCCCAGCGGCCACTCATCACCAACCCTGGCGGCTCGCATCTGCCCCAAGGGGCGGAGAGGCAGAGGGACGCCTCCCGCTGGACCTTGCTTGATCACCGAGCCAAACCCCGAGAAGAAAAGGAAGACAGAGCTGGCTGGGATGGCATCAGGAGAGGAGGGGTGGAACAGGGCACGTATTGGCATCGCATTGGCATTGGGCAGTAGCAAGTGCAGAATGAGTGAAGCAATGTTAGAGAAAGTAAGAAAGCAGAAGACCCTTTGTAGAGGGTGGTTCTGGGCAACCAGATGCACGCAAGCAGGGAGAGGGAGCTGCACCCATGTTCCCCTCCTGATCCGGAGTGGCCAGTCCTGCCCCCTACTCCAGGCAGCCCACCTGGGCCTCTCATCCTGGGAGCATCCCCCCCGAGCACCACCCCCCAGCCCACTCCCGTGCACCCCGCCACTTTCCCACATCTGTATCAATACCAGCCCTGCTGCTTCATGAGTTCTTGTAAGGGAATCTGGCCCTCCTGTCCTACAAAGTCCTTGAGAAATTGCCACTGTCCCTCAAAGTCACGGGGAGGAGTAGGGTTGGAATTAGAAACTAGCTCTTCTTGCCCTTGGATGAACCAGGCACCCAGGGTCAGCCTGGGTGAGGACTCAGAGGGAGTCCTTCTCAGGTTCCCTGTGATCTGGAGAATAATGACCTTTTCCTGGGCCCGGATGCTTGCTAATCCTCTATGTGAGTAATCGCACGTCATTCTCACCTCACACCTGTAAAGTGTCTGTATTCATCACCTTTTACAGGTGGGGAAAATGAGATTCAGAGAAGCAAAGTGCCTTGTGCCTTGGCCAAAGGTGTACAACTTCTAGAAGTAGTTGAAATCTGAACTGGGGTCTGACTCTAGGGCTAGTGGGCAAGTGGGCTGCACCAACTCCTATGCCAGAGTTTCCCTGGCATCTCTTTCCAGACTGTAGCTTCTCTCAATGACTCAGACCTAGAGCCTGGCATTCCCAGAACCTCGTAGCTAAAGGACCCAGACTGATCCACTTTAGAGACACCAAGTTGCCACTACCTGATTTTAGACACAGGACAGCCAAGAGCCAAAACGGGAGGAGACTTGGCTGCATTGACTGGGTTTCATGGCTGTGCCACTTGAGAACTTCCACTCAGTCCAGGTGGGCTCCCAGCTCTGCAGGTAATTCCCAGAAGTGCTCTAGCTCCCAAGGCAAGCCAAGGTCAGTCTTTGTTTTACAGGTCACCAACCTTGCACTTTCTCCTCACTCTCAAAGGACCTCTTTTGTTGAACTTAATGCCCTCCTGGTGCATCATAAACCAGTTTCCTCTTGTTTTGTCCACATGAGATAAGAATGCCTGGCACCACTGGGCAATGCTTTTTAAATGAGAAGAGGGGCTCCACTCTCAGGGCCCCCTTGGCCCCTTCCTGTTCCCCTAGCTGCTGAAGGCAAAGTGGGTTGCTCTTACCATGAAGTTCAGAAATAACACCCTGTGACTGAGGATCCCAGTCACACTCCCAGCCGTTGTTGACAATAGCTGATATTCACTGAGCATTTACTACATGCCGGGCACGTTAAATCCTCATACCTGTGCTATGAGTGACGTACTATAATGGCTCCATATTACAGACGAGGCAAGTAAGCGTAGAGAGAGTAGGTGACTTGCCTAAAATCAAAGAGACACGTCCAGCATCCCAAAACCAAAAAGCAATACTTTCCTCATAGCCTAAAATAGCAGGATTTGCCCACCCGGGTTCCAATTAGTGCTGAGAGGTTATTTCAATTAGCCGTCATTCTCTGATCAGCTCCTGTGTGGCTGGAATTCTTCTAGGGCAGTGGCTTTCAAGCTTGAGAAAGTATCAGAATCACCTGGAGGGCAATTACAGCTAGCTCAGCGCATTTGATAGGTCTAGAATGGAGACTGAAAATTTGCATTTCTAAGAAGTTCCCAGGGAATACTGTGGTCAGGGATGGCATTCTGAGGATCACTGAGCTAGAGGATTTCTACCTATTACCAACTTTTATTAGAACGCCAAAAGGTAGGTATCATTTTTCTCATTTTACAGATGATGAAATTAAGGCTCAGAGAGGTTAGGTAACTTGCCCAGGGCCACATAATAGACGGTAAATCTGGAATTGAGCACTTGCTGTAAAATAGGACAGGCATTTTATATGCACTGTCTCAGTTAATCCTCATAATAATCCTGTGAGGTTATCCCCAATATACAAAATGAAGAGGCAGGCTCAGGGAGATTAACCAGCTCAAGGCCACACAACTGGTGAGTCGAATAAGCAGTATTCAGACACAGGTCTGCTTTTTACAACTCTGTGCTGGTGCCTCTCCAAGAGAACACTGCTGTCAGCCGGCTCTCCTGAGCGCTCCTAAGGTTTCTTTTTTACCTCTCCCCTCTCCACCCCCCGACCCCTGCCCAGAGGTCTCACAGGAGACAGACCATGAGATTCCACCCTCCAGCCTAGAAGATGGCATTCTGACATTCTGACAGGAGAGCTCAGCTCTGCTTCTCACCCTACACCCGCACCGACCCCTACTCCGCTGCCCTCGCAAACCAAGGAACAGAGAGCCGAGCTGTGACCAGGAGGCTCTCAGGAGGCAGCTTCCTGATGGTCACAGCGCCCCCTCGGGGCCTGAGCGCCATAGTGCCAGCCTCCAGTGTCAGGATCCCGGGGAAGGTGAGGGAATGCAAGTCAGAGACCAACTCCCTCTCCCCAGCCTCAGCCAGCATGGGCTGAGCACCAAAGGTACATATCAAAAGTGAAATCTTTTAATGAAATAATGCCATTTGCTGCAACCTGGATGGACCTAGACATGATTATACTAAGTGAAGTTAGATGGAGGAAGACAAATACATAGGATGTCACTAATACATGGAATCTAAAAACTGATACAAATGAACTTATTTACAAAACAGAAACAGACTCACAGACATAGAAAACAAACTTATGGTTACCAAAGGGGAAAGGGAGGGAAGGATAAACTAGGCGTTAGGGATTAGCAGATACAAACTACTATATACAAACAAGGTCCTACTGGATAGCAAGGAAATGATATTCAATAGCTTGTAATAACCTGTAATGGAAATGAACATGAAAAAAGAACATATATAACTGAATTACACCAGAAGCTAACATAACATTGTAAATCAACTATACGTCAATTTTTAAAATGAATAAATCATGGGGATGTAATATACAGCATGGTAACTATAGTTAATAATACTGCATTGCGTATTTGGAAGTTGCTAAGAAGACAAATTTTAAAAGTTCTCATCACAAGAAAAAAATGTTATTATGTATGGTAATGGATGTTAGCTAGACTTATTGTGCTGATCATTTCACAATGTATACTATATTAAATCATCTTGTTGTACACCTGAAACCAAGATGTTACATGTCAATAAAAAAAAATAACCAAGTGAGAAAAAGTCAGCTATACTTCAATTTTTTTTAAATTGATATCTTTTTGATGGCTTTAAATAGAAGCAAAAAAAGAGGGAGAAAAAAGTCCAAAACAGAGGCAAAAGCTATTTTTTTAAGGTTGGCTCATGACAGTGCAACTTTCTGCCTGATTAGTGTGCGCCTATGTGGATGACTTAACTCTAATACACTCAGGATGCCCAGACTCCCAGAGTGAAGCATTGCCATTCCCACCGTAGCCTGGAGGGGACAAAGGAAAGGCAGAGACTTTTCCACAGAGAAGTTCAGAGTCTGTGCCCAAGTTAAGGCATCAGAGAGGGTGAGCAAGCCTGGCTTCTCCCTGCATGCCCTCCCAGAGGACGGAAGTCCTGTGGGCTGTGTCTGGGAGGCTTGTGCACAGGAAAGCCCAGGGGCCTGCGTCCTGTGCATTCTCACCTGCCAACCAGCACTGGGGAGAGGGGACGAGGTAGGGGTCAAGGTACAGATCCACTAGAGGATCCCGAGAGGAGGTACTTTGGCAGGATGACCAAGCCAGAATGGACCGGTCAGCAGGCCGAAAGCAGGCCCCGCTCTGCCTGCTGACCTTGAGAAAGTCAGCGGTGCTCCATCCCTGAACGAGGGATGGCTGTCTTTTTACCTCCCCAGCTTGGTATAAAGCCAAAACATGAGCTTATAAAACACGAGAAGGGCTTCAGTGGACCCATCCCTCTGGCCTGGACACTCTGCAGGTAGAAGGGGATAGTGTTTAAGAGGAGGGTGGGGGATAGAGCTGGCCCCCATCACAGGTCTAGATGTAACCAGGGCACCCCTACTTAATGACCAGTGTCAGCCAAGAATATTTCCATGTCTCCAAGCCATTCACATACTGTTTTAATTTTCTTTCTTTTTCTTTTTTAAGTCAGTTACCGTGTTTCAGTTTCCGGTGTGCAGCATAACGTCCCACTCATGTGTATGTGTGTGTATATATATATATACATATACACACACATATATTTGTTTTCATATTCTTTTCCATTAAAGGTTATTATAAGATATTGAATATAGTTTCCTGTGCTATACAGAAATTTTTTAATCTATTTTTATATATAGTAGATAACATTTGCAAATCTCAAACACTCAAATTTATCCCTTCCCACCCCTCTTCCCCCAGTAACCATAAGATTGTTTACTATGTCTACAAGTCTGTTTCTCTTTTGTAGGTGAGTTCATTAGTGTCCTCTTTTTTCCTTTTTTTTTTTTCAAGACTCCACATATGAGTGA